GTGTGTGTGTGTGTGTGTGTGTGTGTGTGTGTGTGTGTGTGAACTGGTGTGTGTCTGTGTGCTTTTGTTTCAGCTGGGAAAAAGCCTCCTACATTCCGTTTTCTTAAAGTCCTTGAGTCCCACATACCCCCTCGGTCGGTGCTTTTGGTTGAGCAATGTAGTAATTCAGAAACACCTTGTTGCTGTAAAGTCAAAGACCGTAGGTGGTTGGTTGGCGGGTGCTCTGGTGTGGTTTGCTTCTTCTTTTCTGTCAAACATCTATCATCCTTATCTCCCCTTCTTCTTTTTTATGTTTGTTACTATCTTGTAACACCTAATCTTCTGGCGCTCATATGACCTTATGCAGTTGCGAGCGCCGTAAAACCTCTACTAAAACTAAACTAAAAAAGACCGTAGTTGTTCATTCGGAAACAGCTGCCAATATTATGTGCCAAATGGAAAACATAGACAAAAGATTAACTGGCGACGTCAAATGTTTCGCGACTTACTGAGAATTTAGATCCAGAGACTTAATTTATCCTGCTTCTTTCATGTGTAGAATTTATGAAAGATTTTGTATTCCACAGTTTAAATATTAATCTTGAGGTCATTGTTTATATGTTTTATCTTGTCATATCATTATTTTGTTGCACAGTGGGGATAAGAAGAAAAGGACTTTGGTTTTGGACATGACCAGCGTTTTCTCCTGTCGTCTGGGTATTTTGTGCTGGCCACGAAACTGAGTCTATCCAGAAAGTAGCCAGATATTTTAAAATTTTTGTTTTTTAAGTTATAAGCTCCTGAATGACACCATTTGTAAAAGTAAGCGTTTTTTAGGGACTTACTACACAATTAGGTCCTATAAGTGTAGAAGTTTGGAGGCTTTGTTACAAGAGTCTGACTTTCCTCCGATTTAGTGTTTCTGAACTACTACATTGGTCAGCCAAAAGCACCGACCCAGGGGGTATGTGGGACTCAAGGACTGTAAGAAAACAGAATGTAGGAGGCTTTTTCCCAGCTGAAACAAAAGCACACACACACCAGTTCACACACAAACACACACACACACACACACACACACACACACACACACACACATACACACACACACACACACATACACACATACACACACACACACACACACAAAAGAAAAAGGAGAGTTCATTTAGTTTTAATAAACCCTTTTATGCACTTGCAACACAACGAAGTCATACGAGAGTAGAAGAATAGAGGTATTACAAGAGAGAAACAAACGTACAAACGAAGGAGGAGAGAGATACGGACGATGTATGTTTCGTAAGAGGAAGAAGGAGCAAACTACATCAAAGCACCTGCCAACCAACCACATGCCGTAGTTTGGTCATAAAAGGTTGGCTACCTCAGAAATGTTTCACACAGCCAAATCGGGTTGACTGGGAATACCAATATTCCAACCTTTTTGTGCCCCCCCTGTCGTTTTTTCATACCTCTGCTGTCAATTTAATGTGTACCTGTCTACCAGCTGTTTCTGTTAAAGCGTGTCATGTGTAGTGTCGAGGTGTATTGTTGCTTTGATATCACGTACCCTTTCGTTGAAATTTGATACACCTTTGTTCTGACTCAAATGATGAGGTAACAAAAGGTGGCTGGACAATAATAAAATTATGTGAAGTTTTTGACGTAGAATATCAGACAACCGGAACATTAATTGAAACAGTATTCGCACGGTGAGTGTTAAAGACGTAGATAAAAATGACACCTGTCCCTTCCCCCGTTATTCCCCCCGCCAACCAAAAATACCAAACGCCCACGTTAATAAACGCTGCTGGTAGAAGATCCTGCTAAAAGAAAGAAAAGAAACGAAGATCACAGTAGAAGCTCCAACAGGAGACGTGATAACAGTTCAAGATGTTTCAACAATTCGTTTTCCATATGAAATCACTGCTGGAATTATATAGGGGGTTTCAATTTGAAACTATATTTTTTTTCTAAATCGGAGGAAAGTCAAAAACGTTTACCTGCCAATTACAACGGCCTAAGTTGTAGGGCTGTAGTGAAACATTCACCAGATAGATAGATAGATAGATAGATAGATAGATAGATAGATAGATAGATAGATAGATACCGTATTCCACATACGATCGTCTGTGGTGTAGCGGTTAGCTGAACCGAAAAGCGTCTGAACAGTAAAGTGTTCACCTTTGAAAACGATAAGTAATACATAATAATGTGTTTTTCCTCAAAATAACTTGAGCTTTTCAAAGTTTCATAAATTGTATTTAACTTAAAAGAATGTGCGTTGAGTACGCATTGCACATACATGTTTTCCCAAGCTTTAACATAAAAAAATTGTGAGCGTTATAAACTGACTGGTTTTAAGCGTGCGTCAGAGTCTTTTCCCAATCTCAATCGATGTCAGCTTCTGCGTCTGGATTATTATTCAAAGAAATCAATTAGCATATTTCACACTTTGGGGGGAACATAACGCCCGAGACAGACGGGTTATCGTGTAGCACTTTTTTCCTGACGTTGAAAACCCAAATTCGATGACACCTAGTTGAACCAGGGTTCATTGGCGACGTCAGAGACGGACTGTCAGCTTCGACTGACCCCCTAGACACGTCATGCAAGGGCTGGTGTGAAGTAGAAACACACACGGTTATAGCCTCAAGAGGCTCTTAAAAGATATAAAAAAGAGGCTCTGGACTTCACTAAGGATATATCGACACAAAGTTAACTGTTTTAAGGACGTGTGTTATGGTATTTCGACAAGACTCGCTGTTTGGAGCAATGAAAGAGATGTACAATAACTTCGTTAATATAACTGATTTTTCAGTCTTGTTTTCTTAGCCTGGAAGTAAAATAGGTAAGCAACAAAATGTAAACTATGATAATGAAACATGGGAATTCGCGTTTCTATTTCGTGTGTGTCAGTTTGAAATTTGTCCAATTTGCCTTCGGATCGCTGCTGATCAGACATGAAACAATGTGTGTTCACTGCGTCCTTCGGGAGTTAAGCCACGAAGACATCGCTAAAGCTGAGCTGGGAGTCTTCTCCATGTCAGAAAAAGGTTTCTCAACAATCTCAGGAAACACTCTGTAATAAAAAAAAGTAACATACATTAAGTTTCAGTTGGTTACAAATGTTTAAAAACTGTCTTCACTTTGAAGGAATACTCGTATCTTAGGTACATCAAAATCCAAGACCGATTTAGTTTCGAGTGGACATGAATGCTTTCCCCCTAAATTTGAATTGTTTCTCCGATAGCTTTCTAGAGAGCCGCTTCCATTGCCTAATGCCATCTGCAAAGAAGTTTGTCAAAAAGGACGAGAGAAAAGGAAGATTTTGAAATTGTTTACTTTGAAGCCCCCTC